AAGAATACGCTTTTAAATTGGGTAAGGGTTTTGAGTCTTGTGGACCAGTTCTTAGAACTTTTTATTTAGACCTCACACATCTCTATTACGACAGCCTGCAATGTTTCCTAGATGAGCTATTTCAAGGCTATTTTGTGGAGTGTTGTAGGAAAACTGTCATATTTGCCATTAAGGAATTATTTTATAAATTACTTCATATATAGTATAGTTATTCTGTCTCTGAGTTTATGCAAAGGTAAGAAAATAATATTCTCTCCTTTTTTTAAAAAAAGCAGCAAAATTATTATACCTTTTATGCAGACATTCATGTGTAAACAATATTTATCTTTTATCATATTAAGGGGCAAAAAATAACCTTAAACGTGTGGAGAACAATAAAGGGGAAAGAGTGTCAAAGAAAGCAGAAAGAAAAGAAAGTAAAGAGGAAAAAGAAGAGCTGCTGGTGTAACTGAAACTCCTGAAGACACAGGAGAAAGTGGGTGTCGTTTGCCAGCTTGGATCACTCCGACGTCTTACGTCAATCCAGCACGGATGGACTCAGCAGAACCACTGGTGGATTTAAGCAGTGAATGAGAACCCAGATGGATTTAACCCGTCAGAGCAGGAATAAAACAGATGGTATCAGATGACTGCAGGCATCCTGGGTGACACGTTTAGATGAGACCCAGATCAGCAGGCTCACAGTTCGCTGAGATGTGAGACGACCCCTCTGGGAAAATGTCTTATCTACACATGACAGTACTGAAGTTTGAAATATGCTTCGCTGCACGTAGACTCTGTGGCATTCGCAGCGATGCTGATGCAGCCATTCAACGAGCATCACGCTGTCACAGAATTAATACACGTGCAAACACTGTCAGATCTGTTTCACCCTTAAGGGTTACCAATTCTAAAGTTTAGGCCTAGCGTGCCCAGCCTCGTGCATGCACCATGAGGCAAACATCCCCCCAGTTTAGACCCCGGTTGTAAAGTTTAGTTACCATTAACTTCTTCCTAGGAAACCTGATTTATCACTTGTAACCTTGGGGATGAAGAATGAAATGCCAAAAACATGACTTCCTCTAATGGCTGCTTGAAGGTGGCTCCAAAAATGAGTTTTATCTTGTGATAAAATGTTCAACTTTGCAGCATTAAAAAGCATGTTTACTGTCACAGAGAGCAGAAAAGCCACCACAGGAAGTGAGTCTGGATTCTGGAGGAGTGGCTGTTTTGATTGACAGGTGTCCTAGTGAAGGTTGCTGTAGCCAATCGGTGTCTGTGAGGTCTCAGTTGGAGTCAACTGAACTAGACCTATCCTCCATGTTTGTGCTGTTGGTGCATTTTAGAGGATTTTATTTAATATTTGACGTTGGAAGTATTGTGACATACAGAGTCTGCACTTCAGAGTGAGGTTCATTTGTGTTGCACGCTTACAGCTGATGGGAAAGAAGATAACTGTTTGGCTGATACGGCAGCCAAATCTCACATTAACCCTTTAAAAGCGGTCGGAGCGGGCACGCTCTGTTTTG